GGGCAGCGGTGTGAACTGCAAAGGTGTGAACTGCAAAGGGACTGCACCAGGTGGCCGGAGCCCTGAGCTCTGCAGTCCTGGCTCCTTCTTTCCCTCCTCCCTTCTTCAGATAGAGCTATCTCCTCAGCAGAGTGATTCTTGAGTCTGCTCTTTGCCTTTCAGGACATAATCTACTTTGCACAGAATATTCCAACCCAAGACTATTGGAACAAAACTATAGTCCAACATGTTGCTCTGAGGATAACTTGAAATTGTTCAGTGTGTCTAATTCTCTTGACAATGTGTGGCCCTGGTTCACGTAAGTCCACTGACACCCATGAGGACAAAGCCAAGGGCACAGCAGAGCTTGTGAACAGCCTGCCGTAAACTCTACTGTCAACACACCTTTCCTGGAGCACGACAATTGTACAGTTGTGGGACTCGTTATGCCATGTTTGTGCACACACCTAACATAATTTGCTCAGTCCCATGCCCCAGTCCTTCCCCTCCCTCTCCTCCTGCCCCTCCATTGCCCTACTCGACTGATTGCCCTTCTGTCATTACTATTCAGTTATTGGACTATAACGATAAGTGTTCAGGATTCCTTGTGGGACATTCTGATGGACATACGGTAATTTGCCAAACTTCGTTCCCAGTGCTCCCGTGCTCCCCCTCCTCCTCACTCTTGACCCCCTCCTCTACTCTATCACTCTCCCTTTTATTTTCGTGAGACCCCTTTTTCAATTGCTTTTCCCCTCTCCTTGACGCTCACATCATGTAATTATGCAGTGCAAACACTGGACCAAAGACCTAGATTCTAGTTTGGGCTCCAACTCTAAGTGACCATGACTTTGAACAACGCAGTGGTTTTTTTTTTTTTAATGAAAATAAATTATATTTCCAGAGAATGGTGTGACTATCAAGGCAGATTACCAAATAGCACCATAGTAGATTGTTACCCTTCCTCCTCTGTCTCCCTCCCTCCTTCCCTCCCTCCCAATTCCTTTCTCTTTATACAAAGGCTATATACATATTTATTGCTTGTGCCTCAATAGGTTTATACAATCAAACCACAATCAACGGCATAAACCTATGCCTGGCCTTCAAAAGTTTCCTCCTGCCTCTTTGAAAGTTGTGTGTGCAGTAAGAACTCAACATCAGCACTGCTTCGCAGCAGGCATACGTGTGCAGAGCGGGGTCCTGGGCTGTGGGTGCCACGCTGTCCACCTGCAGGATCTGCTCAGCTCACATCACTGACACCAGCACCTTAGACCAGGGCCTCCCTTGAGCGCTGCCTCCTGTCCCCCACTCCCAGCACCCTCTCTTCAAGGCCAGTAGCAGTGGTCAAGTCTCTGAGGCTTCTGTCCTTCATCATCTTCTGCCACTACCCCCCCTGACTCTGACCAGAGAAGGCCTCCTGCTCCACAGAAGGCGCAAGCTGGCACTCAGACAGCTCAGGACAAACCCTGCCCTCCAGGGCAGACCGTGACCGTGTCTGCACAGTCCCTCTCACCACGCCTAGCCATCTGCTTACAGAATCTGGGGGTTTGGGTGGACCTGGCTGGGGACCACTAGTGCACCTGTCACGTGGGGCCTTCTCTGGGTCTGACCGGAGCCGGAGTCCCACACTGAGCCCATGGCTCCTGAGTCAGCCTCCAGACTGAGGAGGAAACAGTTTGGCGGGGCCCGTCTTTGAGACTTCCCTGGCACCCTTCTTCTCCTTTCCCGGGGGTGGGATCGGGAGGAGAAAGAGCGGGAAGAGAGAATGGGGCTCAGCGCCACGCTTGGGCGCCAGCCTACCTCCCCGAGTCTGATTGTGGATTCGTGCTGGTTTTCTGGGGGATATTTATTTAAATGACTACCTTCAGTTTACGGGAAATTGATATTGGTTTTCCCTTTGTAGCATTCATATACATTTTAATTTTAAAATCAATAGATATATTGATTTTATATGTTTAACAAACCACAGTCCATTTGAAGAAAGATATCCAAGAGCAACACCCCGGGCAGTCACAGGTAAAACTGATGCTGTTGAGACGGCAGAGAGTGACAGAGAGCCCCTACGGCCTCTGTGCTCCCAAAGTCAGTACCACCAACAGGGAAACTGGCCACGTCTTGGAAGAGTACCCCAAGAGGATATTCTAGTGGTGAAGGACCACATGCAAATCAGAGCCACAGCGAGACATCATTACACACCCACCAGAGGGACGGATTTCAGTCTGACGGTACTGTGGGTCGCAGGGTGCATAGCGGTGGTCCAGCTCCTGCTGTGGGAGAGAAGGCACCACTCCCAGGTACCACTGCCCTGTCTTTCAGCTATTTTAGAGTCCGGGGACTGTCAGAGAGCCCATAGAAACACAGGTGATCCCTGCCCATAGAATCGCACCTCCTGGTCAGTGGGTGGACCTGATGCTGACCAACCAATGAGGAGGGGTCTGCCCCTGCATCTGGAGGCCCCTAAACTGCCTGCCCTAGATGCCCCCAACTCCATGTCACACCCTGTCCTTCACAAAATCCATCATGATTTTCTAGTTTAGGAGAATTGAGATTTTATATTTTTATAAATATCCTTTAACAGCACAAAGTAGAGAACACTTGAAAATTAACAAGTAAGGATACCTGTGTTCATAACAAAATAGCAATTTGCTGGATAGCGTCTAAACCACAGAAGGTTACATCTCACAGATGCAGGGTCCAGGAGCCAAGGTCCTGGCTGGCTTGCCACCTTGAGAGAGCTCAACTGGGTCACACAGGGCACCTCTGTCAGGAGGGCTCACCTCCTGGGTCACACAGGGCACCTCTGTCAGGAGGACTCACCTCCTGGGTCACACAGGACACCTCTGTCAGGAGGGCTCACCTCCTGGGTCACACAGGGCACCTCTGTCAGGAGGGCTCACCTCCTGGGTCACACAGGACACCTCTGTCAGGAGGGCTCACCTCCTGGGTCACACAGGACACCTCTGTCAGAGAGGGCTCACCTCCTGGGTCACACAGGGCACCTCTGTCAGGAGGACTCACCTCCTGGGTCACACAGGACACCTCTGTCAGGAGGGCTCACCTCCTGGGTCACACAGGGCACCTCTGTCAGGAGGCCTCACATCCTGGGTCACACAGGACACCTCTGTCAGAGAGGGCTCACCTCCTGGGTCACACAGGACACCTCTGTCAGAGAGGGCTCACCTCCTGGGTCACACAGGACACCTCTGTCAGGAGGACTCACCTCCTGGGTCACACAGGGCACCTCTGTCAGGAGGACTCACCTCCTGGGTCACACAGGGCACCTCTGTCAGGAGGGCTCACCTCCTGGGTCACACAGGACACCTCTGTCAGAGAGGGCTCACCTCCTGGGTCACACAGGACACCTCTGTCAGGAGGACTCACCTCCTGGGTCACACAGGGCACCTCTGTCAGAGAGGGCTCACCTCCTGGGTCACACAGGACACCTCTGTCAGAGAGGGCTCACCTCCTGGGTCACACAGGACACCTCTGTCAGAGAGGGCTCACCTCCTGGGTCACACAGGGCACCTCTGTCAGGAGGGCTCACCTCCTGGGTCACACAGGGCACCTCTGTCAGGAGGGCTCACCTCCTGGGTCACACAGGGCACCTCTGTCAGAGAGGGCTCACCTCCTGGGTCACACAGGGCACCTCTGTCAGGAGGGCTCACCTCCTGGGTCACACAGGGCACCTCTGTCAGAGAGGGCTCACCTCCTGGGTCACACAGGGCAACTCTGTCAGAGAGGACTCACCTCCTGGGTCACACAGGGCACCTCTGTCAGGAGGGCTCACCTCCTGGGTCACACAGGGCACCTCTGTCAGAGAGGGCTCACCTCCTGGGTCACACAGGGCACCTCTGTCAGGAGGGCTCACCTCCTGGGTCACACAGGGCACCTCTGTCAGAGAGGGCTCACCTCCTGGGTCACACAGGGCACCTCTGTCAGAGAGGGCTCACCTCCTGGGTCACACAGGACACTTCTGTCAGGAGGGCTCACCTCCTGGGTCACACAGGGCACCTCTGTCAGAGAGGGCTCACCTCCTGGGTCACACAGGGCACCTCTGTCAGGAGGGCTCACCTCCTGGGTCACACAGGACACCTCTGTCAGAGAGGACTCACCTCCTGGGTCACACAGGGCACCTCTGTCAGGAGGCCTCACCTCCTGGGTCACACAGGACACTTCTGTCAGAGAGGGCTCACCTCCTGGGTCACACAGGGCACCTCTGTCAGGAGGCCTCACCTCCTGGGTCACACAGGGCATCTCTGTCAGGAGGACTCACCTCCTGGGTCACACAGGGCACCTCTGTCAGGAGGGCTCACCTCCTGGGTCACACAGGGCACCTCTGTCAGAGAGGGCTCACCTCCTGGGTCACACAGGGCACCTCTGTCAGGAGGACTCACCTCCTGGGTCACACAGGACACCTCTGTCAGAGAGGGCTCACCTCCTGGGTCACACAGGGCACCTCTGTCAGGAGGGCTCACCTCCTGGGTCACACAGGGCACCTCTGTCAGGAGGGCTCACCTCCTGGGTCACACAGGGCACCTCTGTCAGGAGGGCTCACCTCCTGGCTCACACAGGACACCTCTGTCAGAGAGGGCTCACCTCCTGGGTCACACAGGGCACCTCTGTCAGAGAGGGCTCACCTCCTGGGTCACACAGGGCACCTCTCTCAGGAGGACTCACCTCCTGCGTCACACAGGGCACCTCTGTCACAGAGGGCTCACCTCCTGGGTCACACAGGGCACCTGTGGCTGAGTGCTCACCCGGGCCACAATCCCCTTGGAAGTGACATGGGACACATGGCTGTCCTCTCTGCCACTCTCAAGTACACGTGTGTGCCTCACGCTGTCCTACGCACTGTTCCGATTCCTTCCGAAAAGCAGACTTCCATCGTGTCACAGGAAGTGGCCTAGGAGACTGCCCTTGGAACTGAGTACTGACCCCGATAAGTGCCCCCTCGTCTTGGTGGCTGCATCCCAACGTCGATGCCTCAGAACCAGAGGCCTCATCAACATCACGGTCCCTACCTTGGCTTCCAGGTCATGTGTAGGTTGGTGGGCAGATCTCGGGAAGTCCTGGCACAAGAAGCTTCAGCCTGTCAGTTCTGAAGGGCAAATTCTCCTTTGCAGTTTCTTCCACTGAAAAAGGAAGAGAAAACAGTGTGGTAAAGAAAAAGGGAGGAGAAGCTTGGGGCTGCGACTTGTCTGGTGGCAGGTTTGAATTCTGCAGTTTCAGAGGATCCCCCAGCCTATGGCAGTAAGGACAGGCTGAGTGGCATGTCCCCGACAGTCCATTCCCCTGACCACCTTCCACTCTCCCTGGACTGGTCTCAGATACTGTGCAGTAGACTGTCAGCACAGTAAGCTGTTGGGAACGAACACTCTGTGACATGTGAAGTTAATTCAAATGGCCCGGCATGACACCTGTTCATGCTACCCATCCTCATTTGCAATATTTCATGAAGGAAAAGATTTAGCTAATAAAATTCAGGAAAACTAGAATTTAAAAGAAACAATAAATTTACATATAAATCTATATATTCAAAAGTATCTTTCAAAACATCCACAGGTAGAATAAAGGACATTTTTATGTGTAACACCTAAAATCTAAATTCCTCCGCATGCTAACATTGACCCTTTAGGTCACATAGAGTGGATTTCCAGCTGTGTTTCAGCCCAGCACTTAAAAACTACAAATTTCCCATACCTAAGATTCCCAGTTTATCTTACTTAAACCACACTACTCAGATTAACATCTAAACAACCTCCAGGATCAATGAGGGGCTTCCCTTGAAAAACCTCATGAGGTACGTGTCAGTATAATGAGCCCACTGCCAGAAGGAAGCTTGCTCTGCACAACCTCACTGCCCCAGGGACGCAGCCTGCCAGGGAAGGAGCACCCGACCCCAGAGTGCTTCATCATTCACGAGAACCGCTCAATGAGGCCCCTCAAGAACGTTAGGCAACCAAGACAACGAGCTCTGCTTTGCCTCAGAAAACACCCTATATTTCTTCAGAGATGTGTGTTCGTGTGTCATTTATGGCTCTGGACTGATCCTCTGAATGCTGTGGCTGCCTCCAAAATGTCACAGCTGAAGTGTGCTGAGACCAGGTCAAGGGGCCACCTACGGAACAACCGCTGCTTACACATGCTCTGAACTTCCCGTGTGCAGCCTGGGCCAGGCAGATGAGCTACCTGCCACAGCCCCACCTCTTAGACATGCTCTGAGCTTCTCCTGTGCTGCCTGGACCAGGTAGAGGAGCCGCCCACAGCAGCTCCACCTCTTAGACATGCTCTGTGTATAGCCTGGACCAAGTAGAGGAGCCACCCACAGCATCCCCACCTCTTAGACATGCTCTGAGCTTCCTGTGGGCAGCCTGGACCATGCAGAGGAGTCATCCACAGCAGCTCCACCTCTTAGATATGCTCTGTGATTCCTCTATACAGCCTTGGCCAACCACACGAACTATGTATAACAGAATCACTTATTAGGCAGAGTGAGTTGCTGATAGTTGCAGCTAATTTTAAAATTGAATGTTTTCAAAATTATGCTTGCGATTCCTTTAACCATTCATTCCACACAGACCATGTTCTTTTCTATGGAGTCCTGTCTCAAGGAGTCAGCAGAGGTTTATCTTACACGTTTCCTCTGACTGCTGTTTGGTTGCGTGGATTAGTAGGATAGTTTGGGGCACCATAAGTGTGAGTCAAAAGTGAATTTAATGTGACCTCTATATTTTTGAAACCTGTAGTACTATTTAATAAGCAGTGCAATTAGTTCTCACATTAGATTCTCTGTGTCATTCTTATTTGGACTCCATTCAGGTCCAGGCTGACGTGCATATTTAACGTAGAGCATTGGAATCCCTCTCACGCCAGGCTGGAAAGGTGACTTGACAGCCCACTTCCGCCTCGAGCCAAGATCTGGACACTAATTTGGATGGCTGGAGACAATGGTATTTAACCCAGTGACGAATGAGTCTGTAAATGACTGGCTGTCTGTGTCTCCTCCACACTCGGTGCTCTCTCTTTATCTATTCTCAAACCCACCTGAACAGGACAGTTAATCTCACAGAGGCCACACCCAGGGAACCATCCGAACAGTGATGCCATTCCCATCTCTCAGGAGATGACCCTTTCTAGTTCCAGACTCACATTTCCAGTGGCTACTTGACAACTGTACTTGGTGAATGAACATGTCACTTTTTGCCCTTGTTCTTGCTTTTCAAATGATGGGGTTATTGGCGTGTGACTGACTTGCTGCTCTGTCTACGGTGTGAAGCTCAGTTTGTGTGTGCACCCGGGAAAACACCACCACCATCACCTTAATGAAGACGTCCTTGGCTCCCAGGAGTGGGCCACGCCCCGGATCACACCTATGCACCCAGGGCAGTTCCAACTGGAGACTCGAAGTGTGTCTCCATCTCAGCTGCCCTGCGGCAGCAGGTAGGGCTGCCCTCCCCCGTTGCTGAGCCCCACCCGTGCCATCTGTCAGCGAGCCCCATACCTGAGTCACCCAGTCCTCCTTCTTGCCGTCCACGCCAAGGTGGCTCGCAACTGCTCTCCAGGTCCACCCACTCCTTGCCATGCCCACGAGGCCAGCTGGGCTGTGGTCAGTGCTACCGACTTCTGCAGCACCTCGGTCCTCTCTGCCCCACCTCCTCACCCAACACGTGCTGGCAGGCGGCCTCGGGCACTGACTCGCCCACTGCCCACCTCCCCCGGCCACCCCTCCCGCTATCCCACTCCAACGCCACTGACTTTCAGTCTCAGAACAACAAAAGCACGTTCCCACCATCCTGCTGCTGCACCGGCTCTCGCCCAGGCCTGGACTGCCCTCCAGGTTAATGTGGTGTCTCCCACTCGTCACTCACACCCCGGCTCAAGTGTCCCTTGAAAGAATCTGCCCCACTTCACTCCTTCTGCTTCCAGTCGCAGTCAAGCCCCTGGTCATTCTCCAGATATCCTCAGCATATGGACCATGTGCTTATGTTCTCACAGGGTCATCGAGAACCTTCTGGAACCCCTTCCCTCCTCCAGGTCATGCCCTGCTCTGCTTCTCTCCGCGCCCCCCGTCCAACTCCATCCTCCTGCATGGAGAGAATGTTTCCCAGGGTGACAGAGGGCTGGAGATCTCACTTAGGTCGATAGCCAGGGCTGGTGGTGCTACTGAACAGCATTTGTTGTGGCCTAAACAAAGACATGTGAGCTAACTAATTACAATATGCCCAGCTCTCGAATAGTAAATTGCTTTATTGTGATGTTACAATTTCAAATCATCATCCCTTACTGGGAACAAAATTAAACACACCGAGGGCTGTTCGTCTCTCCTCCGTTCTGCCTCTACCCTGTACCTTCCACCATTCTCCACTGTGATTAATGGGTTTAATTTGCTTTCACTAGGATGTGCAGGGTTGGTAGACGGGAAAGTGAGACTGTTAAAAGCCTCTTAATTAGACTAATAATGCCAGATCTGCACACACTAACAGGGTGCACTATTAATTACCTTTTTTTAGGTGGTCTCTGAGTATTTCAAAGCTGAAATAATCTTGATGCTACCGGGAGATCTGCTAGGTTGACAAACAGTGTGTCATGGCACAGCACTTCAGAGAAAGGCCTCCGGGCTCTCAGTGTGCGGAGTCATGCCCTGAGGTTGCCCTGCAGGCGCATGGGGCCTGCTGCCCCATCTCTGCCTTCCTGCCCATCTGCATGGACAGTGCATCCTGCCAGTTGGCTGATCTTGGCTGGTGGGAGCCCAGCAGATCAGGCTACAGGAGCTGAACCCCATCTACAGAGAACAGGTGCCAAGACCCCGGAGGCTTCCTGAAGCCACAGACAGTGCTCAGCCCTCTAATTTGCAGCCTTGACATCTTTACTAAGCACTTGTCATGCGCTTGGCTCCAAGTTGGCAGTTTGAGATGTGACAGCAAAACTTGTGTGAATGTTTCCTTCTTCACAATTTCCAAGCCCAACGTTCTTCCTACTGTGGGTCTTGGCAGTCTCAGCATAACTACTATAAGACTTGGCAGCTTCTCTTTGGCACATCGGAATAGGCCATCATCACTAGTCTTGTGCTTTGGGGCCATTATTAGGTAACAGAAGGACGTGTGAACATAGGCACCACCGTGATAACATGACTGTCAGATGACTAAGACAGTTGCACGATTACTAACGGGTGAGCAGGGTATACGGGATGGATATGCTGACAAAGGATGATTCCCTTCCCAACAGGATGGAGAAGGTGGCACAAGATTTCTCTCTGGCACTCAGAATAGCACCCAATTTAAAACAAGAATGGTTTACCTCTGGAATTCTACATTTAATATGCTTGACCACAGGTAAATGAAACTGGAAAGTGAACCTGCAGATTAGTGCTCCGTGGGGTTTATCCCCTGGCCTCCTTGAGACTATCAGGTTGTGTGTGAAGCGGGCTGTGTCCTTGCACTGGGTCACTGTTCCTCAGGACAACACCCTCCCTCTGGGATCTGCCCGTATTTCTCTACCCCTGTCTCTGCGGACCTTGGGGTGGCTCCCCACACCTCTGCCCAGGCCACACTGCCTTCCACCTCACCTGAACACAGGTTCATCTGGAGAGGAACCCACAGCACACAGCCTACCTTGAGCTGGTTCCTACTGGGCCCCTGATGCATGCTCCCCTATCGAGGCCAATGCTCGATGTATCTTATTACGTTTAAATCTTCACACATCTCACTACAGCTGACTATGCCATTTGAACAGGTGTCCATGCCTTGTGAGGTGAGTGGAAATTCTGTGTAAAGAGTTAGGCATGTTCAGGGCTGGGGCTCAGTGGTAGAGCGCTTGCCTAGCCTGTCAGAGCACTGGGTTTGATCCTCAGCACCACATGGAAATAAATAAATACCATAAAGGTATTGTGTCCATATACAACTAAAAAAAGGAATATTTTTAAAAAGAGCTGGGCATGTCCACTGTGAGCTTCTCCACTGCCAACACCTGTTCTCGTAAGGATACAGGACTATTTTTGGTGGGGGAAGCATGGGCTCCCAAATACAGACGTTTTCAAACAAAAATTCCCAAAGTGTATGAAGTATCTCAGTGGAATCTACAAGCCTTGTTGGGCGCCCCCCCATCAGTGCCCTGTAGTTACCCTGATAGAGGG